TGGAACTGCTGAAAGGACTGTGTGTTCCACACCCATCTGCACCACTCAGGTGACCCTGAGGACACAGGTAAACCTCCAAGTGGCCTCAACGACTCTCTAGAAGAATGCAAACGACCAGCTGTCTGAAAGGAGTATAAATCCTTCCACTTCCCACCATCCAGTCAGAGCTGAAGAAGCTTCCTGGATGAGAAGGATTTATACTCCTTGCAGACCGCTGGTCATTTGCATTCTTTTAGAGAGTCATTGAGGCCACTCGGAGCTTTGTCCGTGTCCTGAGTGGTGCAAATGGGTGTGGAGCCTTCTTGGAACTGCTGAAAGGACTGTGTGTTCCACACCCATCTGCACCACTCAGGTAAACCCCGAGGACACAGGTAAACCTCCAAGTGGGCTCAACAACCCTCTAAAAGGAAGGCAAACGACCAGCTCTCTGCAAGGAGTATAAATCCTTCCCTTTCCCCACCATCCAGTCAGAGCGGAAGAAGCTTCTGGGAGGAGAAGAGAAAGGTCTTCAAAGTAACAACAAGAAAGTCCAGTTGCCTCTTGAAAAAGCACCTTGGGGACACCAGAGGTCGTGACGATTGAAAGGACCTACGTAAGTTGGACGTGGGACACCACGCCCAACACCACTCACCCGAGTAATTGCAGAAGTTGAGGTCAGTTTTCTTCTGGGCTTCTTCACCTTCCTAAGATCGTCGTCTTCGTAGAACAAATCCTATCGTGGGGGGGGGGGGGACAGAGAAGCCATTGCAGAACTCAAGTAACATCCCACCCCGGAGTTCCTTAAAAACGAGGCAAGTGCTAAAAAGGGCGAGATGTCTACAGGTCGTCCTCCACTTACGACAACTGGGGTTAGAATGTTCGCGGCTAAAGCCAGGCGGTTTGGGAAGGGAATCCCTTCTGGTTTTGCGACCTCTTTGGCCACAGCAAATCGCTGCGGCCGTTAAGGGGGTCACCCGGCCGTTAAGCGAATCAGGCTCCTCCTATTGACTTCGCTTGCAATCGTGTGACTCTGGGACGCTGCCTCCAGCAGAACCCCCTCGGGACCAATTCCGCGACGAGCCGAGTTCGCCAAAGGGAACCGGTCAAGTCAGAAAGAGCTTAACGGAATAAGAGAGTTGGAAGGGACCTTTGGAGGTCTTCTAGTCCAACCCCCTGCTCAAGCAGGAGACCCGATTCCACATGGCTGTCCAGTCTCTTCTTGAAAACCTCCAGTGATGGAGAAGGGAGGGAGGGAAAAAGGAAGAAGAAAGAAAGAAAGAAAGAAAGAAAGGAAGGAAGGAAGGAAGGAAGGAAGGAAGGAAGGAAGGAAGGAAGGAAGGAAGGAAGGAAGGAAGGATAGCAGAATAACAGAGTTGGAAGGGAGAGAGGAAGGAAGGAAGATTAGAGGGAGGAAGGAAGGAAGGAAGGAAGGATAGCAGAATAACAGAGTTGGAAGGGAGAGAGGAAGGAAGGAAGGAAGATTAGAGGGAGGGAGGGAGGGAGGGAGGAAGGAAGGATAGCAGAATAACAGAATAACAGAGTTGGAAGGGAGAGAGGAAGGAAGGAAGGAAGGAAGGAAGATTAGAGGGAGGGCGGGACTAGGAGGGATGGATGGGAGGGAGGGAGAGAGGAAGGAAGGAAGATTAGAGGAAGGAAGGAAGGAAGGAAGGAAGGAAGGAAGGAAGGAAGGAAGGAAGGAAGGAAGAAAGAAAGAAAGAAAGAAAGAAAGAAAGAAAGAAAGAAAGAAAAAGAAAGAGAATAGCAGAATAACAGAGTTGGAAGGGACCTTGGAGGTCTTCTAGTCCAACCCCCTGCTCAGGCAGGAGACCCTATCCTACTTCAGACAAATGGATGTCCGCTCTCTTCTTAAAAACCTCCAGTCTTGGAACAGTCCCAACTTCTGGAGGCCAGCCGTTCCACCGGCTGATGGTTCTCAACGGTGAGGGAATTCCTCTCAAGTTCTAAACTGTTTCTCTCCTGGGTGAGTTCCCCATCCTGGCTACAAGTTCTCCCGGCTTACCTGTCCATGCAATGGGTCATCGCTTCCTTCTTGTTCGGACGAAAAGCTCTCCTCCTCTTCCTCCGAGTAGTTATCGATGTCCGGGGAGCGATCTAGGAAGCAATCCAGATGATCAGCACAACTCTACATCCCAAAACAGGGTGGTCCAGGTTTGGCCCAGGCGGGATGCTAACTCAAAAGAAGACCACGTGTGTGTGTGTGTGTGTGTGTGCGTGCGAATTCAGAGAAGCAGCGAGGCCAAATCAGATTTCGTTTCAGATTTTTTTTTAATACTTCAGCGTCCCTGTCTGCGTTCTCCTCAACGCCGAAAGGACCCCAGAGAACTCCATATCTCAGATCCTGGCTTCTCTCTGATCGTTCTGTCACACTGCTGGGAAGTGAACCCAAATATCGGATTAAATCCAGCCCCGGGCTCTAGATTTTTTTTGCCTCCGTATCCTTAGCAACTCCATCACTGCCTAGGTGGCCATCTGCAAAAAGGGTCCAGGAAAAAAATAGACAGGATTTCCCAAGCCAGAGGCTAAATATAGCCAGGTTTGGCAGAATTAAATTAGGATGGTTTTGACAAGCTCCAGCAACCGAGCGGACGCCGGGCGCCTGGTCTCCCGCAACTCTACAAGGCCGTCAAGCACCAGTTGTGCAACTGTCTTTTGTGGCTCTGCTCGATTACATGCCGGTGGTTCAACCGCCTGAATTTTCATCACGTGCTCATGGGAGGGGGGGGCGCTGCGATGGTTGTAAGTGTGAGGACCGATCGTAAGGCACGGCTTTTGGTGCCGTTGCAGCTTCAGTCACTAAATGAATGAACGGCTGTTGAGCCGAGGACCGTCCCGCACCTGATAACTTCGACTTGAGTCCTTCGTGGTCAATGGGCTGGCTGGACAGGGAGTAGATTTTGATTTCGGCCACTGGAACGGAGACGTCTTTGACGTTGCTGTGCAGTCCCAGGACCAGGGCCCCCTCGCTCGGATGCTGCATCACCTGCCGGAACGCCAAATTGCCATGGGGGGGGTGTTCGAAAGTTCAAAAAATGTCAAGCAAAATGATATGAGAGAGGAGAGAGAGAGGAGGGAGAGAAGAGGGAGAGGAGAGAGAGAGGAGGGAGAGAGGGGGAAGAGAGAAAGGAGAGAGGAGAGAGAGAGGAGAGAGAGAGGAGGGAGAGGAGAGAGAGAGGAGAGAGAAGAGAGAGAGAGGAGGGAGAGGAGAGGGAGAGGA